GGTTAGGCAGACCAATTATAAGTCTCAAAAAAATAAAAAATAAAAAAGCATAAATTAAAGTTATTTGAGAAAAAATATTAAACACTATAAATCTCCTACCAAAAAATATTTTAAAAGACCCTAAAAATATATTATTTTAATATTTTTTTGGTGAATATTTATTTAAATAATATAACATTATATTTTATTTAATATTATATAAATTTATAAATTTATAATCTTACATAATATTATAATTATAATATTTTTGTAATCTTAATTTATCATAAAAAATAAAAAAATAAATTTAAAATAAAAAATAATAATTATTTTAAAAGTATAAAATGACCAGTGTTGTACTACTTTTGTTGATTTTATCTCATATTAAGAATGTGAGGATTATTTACTACCGTGTCCCAAAATAACTAAAATAATTGTCATTTTTATTTTTTTTATTTTTAAAGGTAAATAAATATTTTTTATTTTAATCTTATTATTATTTATTTACTTTAATTAGTTATCTTATTATAAAAAGTTAAAAAGTTTGATTTTATTTTTTATTTTTTTTTCAAAAATAATATAAATAAATATATAAGTTATTACTAAATTTTTAATTTTAAAAATTAAAAAATAAAATTATTTTAAGATAATAAAAATATATTTTAGTCTATATTATTTTTAAAAAATATTTGTATCTCTTAAAATATAAAAAATAATAATTAATTTAAAATAAATTTAAAATAAAAAATAAAATTATTTTAAGATAGAGAGTAATAATAAACCATATTAATGACTCTGTATATTTATTATTTAACGCATAAATTTCCAGGAAAAAAAATAACACGAAATTTGCGGAAGGATGGTGAAGACGTGGCAAAACCACAGAGGCTAATGTACCAAATGGTGAGAAACTAACCGGCGGTAACTCAATTTCTTACAGAGGTTCGATTGGGTGCATTGTTACTCTGACACAGAAATACAGCGAAGAAAATTACAAGACTAAAACAAAAAGGTGTTAGCTATTAGTGTTTTATACAGCGACCGGTGGAATAGTAAGGGTGTTTTTAAGGAGAATGCTATAAATATATATTTATAATATTATATGATATTATAATTTTATAATTTTATATTATTAAAAAAAAAAAGGAAAGGTTTAAAGTATGATATTATTTTTG